TCTCAAGCCTATTGATTTGGATGGGACTACCCCCAAAATAAATAACTAAAAATGAGCTGTATGCTGAAGAAAGACTTATGTCAAATAATCAGCACACCCAGATGAAGTGCTGAATGCATATATCTTGCAGGAATTCACTTCATAAGCTTGAAACTAGTTCCAGTGCTCAAGACCGATGTGTAAGGGAAATGCTAAGCATAAATCAAAACTTTCTTTTACTAAGTGTTGAATCTGAAAGCTTTGCCACACTGACTACTGATATGTAGATTTTCTTTCTAACACTGGGACCTCTTGTCAAATTACATCTAGCACTGAATCAAAGACAGGCTCAAAGTAGTTGTTGGAAAACTTGTATTTCCAGAAATTTTCTCTTTTACATTCCTTGCTTAGATTACTACAGTCCCTCTAGCTGCTCTTTGATTTCCCCCCAGGAGATCAATCTGCTTGCAGCATTGCTGGAGTGGGGGAGGTGCAGCTGTAGGTCATCTTAACCATCTTCTGGGAGAGTCTGTTGAACACTGCTTCATCATGGAATAGGCTGATGAATTACTACTGGATGTGCTTGCTCAGCTACAGGTCAGTGAAACTCCTGATTCTGATGTCAGTTCACTACTTGGCCCTAACTGTTTTGGGTTTGAAGTTCTGACTGGTGTCAGCCAATGTTCCCTCTAAGCTGTGGAGTCTTGTGAGCAAAAATTCTACTTTGTGAGCCACTGGCATTAAAGTGGCGAGTGAGCAATTTGGGTACTGCATAAATTACTTTGCTCTGGAGCCATCCTTCCTGAGCTAAGACAAAAATGTGTGAGCCAGAGGCTAAAAAAAGGTGAGCTAGCTCACACTAACTCAGCTTAGAGGGAACACTGGTGTCAGCTGAAAGTGAGGGAAACTCTGATGCTATGGTGTAGCAGAGCAGGCCTCTAGTTCCTTATTTTGGAAGCTAAAAGTCTGGTGTTTAGGTTATTCACATCTAATTGTTCTGTTGAAACATTCCAGGAAAGGTAGGTGTGTGTGTATGCAGGGGGAGGAGAGATGTGCCCTAAATGTCATTGACAGTGAGTTGACCCTTAGGCAAAGACTGCTTATCTCCAAGGTGGACCAGGAGGAGGAGAAGAGTTGGTTTGATACCCCACCCTTCACTACCCAAAGGGGTATCAGAGCAGTTTACAATCACCTTCCCTTCCTCTTCCGACAACAGGCATCCTGTGAGGTAGGTAGGGCTGCGAGAGCTCTGAGAGAGCTGTGACTGACCTAAGGTCACCCAGCTGGCTTCATGTGGAGGAGTAGGGTATCAAACCTGGTTCTCCAAATTAGAGTCCTCCTGCCCCTCCTAACTACTATACCAAACTGGCAGTGGGGAACCGGGTGTGTGCGTGCAAGGGAATATATAGCCATGTTTGTTTTCCCTTCATCCAAGTCTCAGTAGCGTGTCAATAGGGTGTTAATGTAAACCACCTTGTTGCTTGCTCTAAAACAGTTAACTAAACCAAAGCAGTGCTTATTATGGGGCTTTTAAGAGGGCAGTGGCAGAGAAGGAGAGAGGAGTGTGTTGCCAAGCAGACTTTGAGTCAAAGGTAGAGAGAGGCAGACCACTAGGGATAGGTAGCTGAAGGTAACAGCAATTTTTCATTTTTGAACTGTAGGGTACTGTCAGAAACAAACCAAGATTAATCCAGGATACTGCATTTTTATGTACTGTAAAACCATGGTTAAGAGTAGCTGCGGGTAATAAATCAGCTTCATGTACTGGCTTCAATTCCTGGTTTGATAGACTCAAACTAACCATTGTCAGTGTACTGTAGTAGCCTTCATTTGGACAACCCGTTGACTATCATTAAATTAATTAAGCCATGGTTTTGTGTTACACCTCAGCTGATGCCCTTTGTTACTTCTAGGAAGGACAGAGAAACCCTGAGTATAATTATGGATCTGTACATAGTGGACTGAAGAAAACAACTTTGATTCTGGCTAATAATTAACAGAAGTCACCTGTGATGATCGTTTATCAGGCACCATAAAACTTCAGTTTATCTGTTGCAATGCTGAAACCTGTTTTGTTTAAAATCTACTATGGCCTGCTTGTGCAAAACTTTCTGTGAGACCCTTGTCAAGAAAGTATTATATACTTAAGGAAATTAGTGGGCTGTTACAAGGTTCTGTTCTGTCTTCCATGTTTTTTAAATACCTACATTAAACTATTGGGTGAGGTTGCCCAGATATTTGGGATGTGGTGCCATCGATATGCTGAAGAATCATAGAATATTAGAGTTGGAAGGGACCTTGCAGGTCATCTAGTCCAACCCCCTGCACTCTACAGGAGCATAGCCAAAAGATAGCCCTACAACATATCCGAAAGATGGTCCAGCGTCCAGCGAAGGAGCATCCCCCCCCCCGAGGCAGTCTGTTCCACTACTCAGTTAGGAAGTTTTTCCTGGTATTTAGCCGGTATCGACTCCCTTGTAATTTCCACCTATTAGATCTAGTCTTGCATTCCAGAGCAAGAGAGAATAGATCTGTTCCATCTTCTACATGAAGACTGCAATCATGTCCCCTCTAAGCCTTATCTTTCCCAGGCTAAACATACCCAAGTCTTTCAGTCTTTCCTCATAAGACTTGGATTCCAACTCTCTCACCATCCTGGTTGCCCTCTTCTGTACACATCCAGGTCTGTTTCTCCTTGATGTTGGATTAGTGTGAACAAACTGAAATCAGTCCCTACAAGACAGAGGGAAGTAGCTGGTGCTGGAACAGAAGATGCTGCAATTCTCTGTGTTATGTGCCTTTGGAATTACATTACTTTTGTATGTTCAGGTAACATCCATTGCCAATAGTGCCTTTCACCAACCTCAGCTAATATGCCAGATGTATTCCTTCCCAGGGAACAGGGATCTTGCCACTGTTATTCATGCCTTGATAAAATCTCTCATTTTGGATCAAAATAACATGGGGCTGCCTTTGATGACCATGTGAAAATATGAGTTGGCTTTTAGAATTTGGTAAAACATAACAAGGGCTAATCATAATGAGCAGAATATATCAGTTCTCAGGATACTTCATTGGCTTCCACTAAGTTCCCAAGAACAGTTCAACATTTTGGTGCTTACTCTGGGCATAAGGTAAATGATGAATAGTCTTTTTGTGTCCAGACTCCTTAGTATGCTTATGTCATTGGCAAGAGTTCATCTCCTGCACCTTAAACGTTTTAGTATGGTCTGATAGCTTTATGGAACAGGACTTTTGCGTGGTGGCACCATGCTTTGGACTACTCTGTTCTATATTGTAGCAGGTAAGGCTGAGTTATGGGTTGAGTAGCAGTTTTTTAATCCAATGTTGTTTTTCTGATTTTAGCTGCTTATATTTGATGTTTGCTTTTTATGTCTTATACATATCAGATTGTATCTTGTAAGATCTAAGGAGCCTGTAAGGTCATAAAGTAGAATAAAAGGGGAAAAACCCACCCTTTTTGTCAATCCTAAAATTAAGGTCATGGTAATATATAGCTGATATTTTTTTGAAAGGCCCAGTAGGTAGGCCTTTGAAACATCATTCCTATCTATTCTGCCCTCTCAGTATCTCTTAGTATTTTTGTTTCTTGATACTTTTGTTTGTTTGTTGCAATGCAATAGTATATGGAGTTGTCATTTACCTGTTTCTTTTGCATTTACAGGGAGCTTGCAAGCACTTTTCAAATCCTAGTAGTGATGATAAACACATTTTAAATACCATGTAATTTTATTTTTACCGCAACAGACAAACATGACTACCTGTCTGGTTTGATTTGTTATTGTTTGCTGACATTCCAAAGCACATCCATTCTGATTAGTGATGAAGAAAGACTGACCATTGCTTGTCATTCTGGTGTTTTGTTGAGCGCTTTTGTACCAAGTACAAAGTTTAGTCTGCAAAACCTGCACTAAGACTGTGACATGTTACATACAAGGCTTCCTCCATGAGTTTATCAGCAGCATCTTGTTCTGTTCTTCTCCCTCTTTTTTTGTTTGTTTAACATATAGCCAGAGAAAGAGCTCTGTGAAATCTGAAAGCTAGCTTGCTACTTTTGTGACTTTCACTTAGCCCCAGTATGTCATCATATTAGTCCCGATGTGTGGATTTGGTTTTGTTTTCTAATGGAGAGACTGCCAACACGGCTATTAATGTTTTTTAAACGTTCGCTCTCTGCTGCAGTTTTTTTTTAGAAGATCTGTCTGAAAAGTCGACTTTGCGTAAATCAAAGCGAACTTAAAACTGTCGGAATCTGGAAGCGCTAGGACCAGGCGTGCTCCGGGAGACCGCTGGCATTGGGCGGGAGGGGAGTTGCGAGGCTCGTCCATGCAGAGAAGGCTGCCGCCGCTGCCATTTCCACTCACACACTCCGCAGCTTACGGAAGGCGGGGCGGGGGGAGCGAGCGCGAGCGGGCGCGAGAGAGGGAGGTTACGGAGCATGACTGAACGGAGGCGCCTGGCTGCCAACACTCACACACTGCCTGCTGCTTCTGCTGCCGCTTCGGCTCTGGGCAAGTGAGGAGAGCGGGCAGAGGGGGAAGAAAAGGCGGAGGGCAACTCGGGCTCGGAAAGCCAGAGGGAAGCAAGCCAGAGAGACACTGACCTCCCCGCCGCCCCGGGTCCCCGCTCGCTTCTCCCGGAGGCTCTCCGGAGCAAGGCAAGAGGCTGGAGAAAGTGTGAGCGGGCGGGGGAGAGAGAGAGAGAGAGAGAGGCTCTGAAGTTTTCGCGCCTGGAAGGGCGCTGGGCAGCGCGGCGTTCCTCCGCTAAGCCCCCTCAGGAGGGTCGGCGCTCTCTTCCCGGCTGCTTCGAGTGGCCTTCTGGGGGGAACTTTGGAGAGACTTGTGGCTGGCTGCCGCTGCTGCTGGAGGTGCTGCCCGGAGGTGAGCAGCGCCTCGGGGAAGTCGCGAAGGGAACTGCGAGGAGAAGTTTGTTGCCAAGAACAGACCGCGGCTCGGGGGCTCTTGTACTCGCTGGTGCCGCTGTGGCAAGGAGCAGAGAAGATGGGCTGGAGCGGCGGCGGCGGCGGCTGCCGGGGAGTCCGGAGCGGAGGGGACCTGCTGTGCCTGCTCACCCTCTGGCTGGGCTTTTTGCTGCCCGCCTGCAGGACTCGCGTGTACACCAACCACTGGGCGGTGAGGATAAGTGGCGGACTCCCAGAAGCCGACAGGATAGCTAGCAAGTACGGCTACATCAATATAGGACAGGTAACCCTCCGGCGGCGGCGGCGGCGGCAGCAGGCCACGCGCTCTCTCGGCCACTTCGAACGGCGGGCAGGCGAAGCAGTGTGTTTGTGGGGTCGAGGGAGGAGGAGGCGGCGGCGGGGTGTCCCCTCCACTCCCCCCGCGTCGCCTCCAGTCACGAAGGTCACGGAAGCCGGGAGGGAGCGCGCGCCGCGGGGGCGCCTCAGAGGGCAGGTAAAGGGCTGCCTCTCGCGCGCGCTCTCCGCGGCTCCCTTGGAAAAACGGATTTTAAACCAGGCAGACACGGCTGGAGTACAGAGATAGGTCCTGTAGTTAAAAGAGTGTGGACGGTGAGGAAGAGACGCTTGAAGGAGCTGGTGGCCATTTGGCTGCGTTTAAAGGGGGGGGGGTCGTGTCGGAAGGTAGCTCTGGGGAGGAAGGATTCGGTGACGAGGTGACTGGTCAAAGACTGAGGGAGCCACTTCTCTGGAATACACAGGGCAAGGTGCAAAAAGGGGGGACTCAGAGATGATTTTGCATTCCCTGCTCAAAGTTTCTCGAAGGAGAAATCCCTTACTGGTATTCAAGCCTACCTGGAAGACAGACTACTAAAGTTGGATGCGGTCCCCCCCCCATCCGTATTCCAGAAACAAGTCACCTTCACTCAGCACATGCTCAGAAGCACGGTGCACTGGGTTATTGCTTCACATTATTCCACAGCTGAACACTAGCACTATAAAAAGGTTCTGGGGCTGAGCCATAAAGAGTTCTGCCTCCGTCTGAATCCTGTTTCCCCTCGCTCTAGTTTTCACTCCTTTCTTGCAGTCTTTGCCCTAATGGTGCTTACCAAAGAAATGTTAATAGGGTTGCTTAAGCAGGATCTAAAGGAACAGATTTCATCTTGGCTTCAAGTCCAGAAATAAGGAATGATAGTGTCTGTGGAAACAGTCAATCCTGTTTTCAGTTTATGTTCCCTTGTTGATCATAAAAGATGGTCCTCACGTGCAAAGCTGGAAAGGAACTGAGAGCGTCCAGGGAATAAAGGCACATTGCACTTTCAACCAGGTGGATTTCCCGGCTGCCCTTGGAATTCTGCCCCTCTGGCTGGGGCTGGGGCTCCCTGTCTTGAGTCAGAAAGCAGGAATTTGATGCATCTGCTCTGATGTTTGCTTTGCTTCTCTCTGGGTTTGCACTTAGTTGGCTTTTAGGATTGTGGTGCTTGATTACAGAGGACACAAAGTTTGTATGTGTAGGCATAATTAAAAGTCAATGTGTTGTCAGTTTACAATCTGGGCTAAGCTAAACCATATATCTAAAAGTACAAATATTTATGAAGGTGTACACATGTTAAAACTTTCCTGATTAAAAATTACTTTGTCTAAGATCAGACTATAAAAGCTTATCCACTATACATACATCTGATGGGTAAATACTTTACAACTGAAGACCATACGCGTTTCGGCCCCTAAGGGCCTTCCTCAGTGGTCACTATTATCTATATATTCTAGACACACATTCAAAGACCTGTTACAGAATTTTAGTACACATATAATTAAACCGGATGTTGTTTCCATGTATACTTATAATTGGACTCCTGGTATTAGTGATGGGCCATAGGTATAGCCGTATCACCTCCACAACTTATTCTGGTAACAGCAATTTTGTAGGTCTGAATTTTCACCTTGATGGAGGGACACACATTCAGATAGTGTGGATAAGCTTTTATAGTCTTAGACAAAGTAATTTTTAATCAGGAAAGTTTTAACATGTGTACACCTTAATACACCTTAATAAATATTTAGCTTAGCCCTTTTTGGTTCGTAGTCATATCCTGGGTTGAGTCCCCCCCCCCTTTTCCAGTTTACAATCTGGACCTTCTTCACCTCCCAGACTCTCCCTTGCTTTTTGTGCAATGAACTTTGAGCTCAACAAATGGAAATCAAATCTTCAACAAGCAGATGGTGTGTGTCCCTCTGCATACAGGGTCCAAGATTTTGCCTGGGCTTCTGCCAGTATAACAGAAAAGGAGGCAGGATTTAATTTGTGCCAAAGTTCATCTGGGCTGAGCCGCAGAATTTTTCTGTGCTAAGATGGGGCTCAGGAATATGTGAAGGAATAATAAGTAGGAATCCCTGTGAACATGAACAAGACAGCCTTTCTCATATCATAGGGTTATGTGAGCCTCCCCCACTTATCTGTGACTAGGCAATAAGACCTCTGTATCTGAGAATGAGTCTTTCCAAACATACTAGAGTTCCAATCCTTTTTATATATAAAATTCTTGGAGTGCCTATGTTACCCCCTGCCCCCATTTACTATCTAAAGGGTTAAATTGGGAACGCTACAGAGGTTACTTTGCATGCCACTGTATGGTATCCTGTCCACTGGTGGTTTTTGTCTGATAACAATGGAGGTAGAAGCATAGTTTTGCAGATGAAATGTTCTGAGTCTGTCAGAGGTATTTTTAATAGCATGACATTTCTTTGTCCAGGGGTCTTAGGGGTGTTCTTTTTAAAAGTTTCTTAAATTCAATTCAATTTTTGTTTACTATCACTTAATTGTATAGAATAGATTTCTTTAATGTATGTAGGAAATATATTTGGAAATGTAAAAACTTGGTTTAAATTTAAATGGAATTGTTGGCATTGATTTCTATCAAACTAGTTAGGAAACACCTGGAATCTACAGAATCCTCAGATGTTTAGTTAACAAACACCTGGAATTCATTGGATCCAAAGCCTATCAGTGAGAAAATACTTGGAACTAGGCAGGTCCAAGCACTCCCTAAGGAAATAACTACTGGATCTAGTCACACTTAGAAAACACTCAGCTGCTGCATAAATGCACACAAGAGGGAGAAACAATCACAGGATTCCGATTTCTAACTTATTCTCTGTGATAGCACATCACACATTTCATGGCACTTAGCCCTCTGAGGTGTGAAGCATGTTACCTAATGCAGAGAACAGCACAGCCTTTTGCATTTATTCTTTATGACTCCAGCACAGGATGGTGTTCTCTTCTGTTTAACACATTTTATTACACTAATTAAAACAGTTTAGGTTGCAAGCTTTAACCTATACAGTACAGTCCTTTATTTGATGTAGTAGGAATCCCCAAAATACAGCTGCACTATCATACAGTTTCCTCTCAGTTCTTCAGATCAAAGGACAGTAACACTTGTCTAGTTGTTATTTGTGCCATAAATTAGTTCACACATACTGTATGATTACAGTGAATGTTTCAAAAACTGCTTATAATAGTCCCTAGTATGAAGAGCTTGCTTCATCTTTTATGGAAATATGATGTTAGTGCATAAGTACTGTAAAACTATTAACATCATAGAAGTTTATTTCTGCCACTGAAGCTGTATACACTGTAAAAACACAAGGAAGAATGATTTATGGCCACTTTGTAGTAGCAGTAGTTGTTCTTGGTCAAATTACTTGATCAAATGACTTGGTCAAATAACTGAAGTAGCCAGTACCAGTGGACACAGAAGTGCTGCTACTCACTTTGACTATAAAGGCTTAAGTTGGGTAGCCATGTTAGTCTGTAAAAGCAGAACAAAATTTGAGTGCAGTAGTACCTTAAAAACCAAAAAAATGTTCCAGAATATAAACTTTCATGAGTCTAAGCTCACAAACTGAGCTTTGACACATGAAAGCATATAGTCTGAAAAGTTTTGTTGGTATTTAAGGTACTACTGGTCTTGACTATAAATATCGCTGTGCCCTAATATCCACAGTACTAAACTTATTTGGCTGTGTGGGACATACAATGGTATGTATTGCTCACTCTAACTTCTGTTTTCACATTTGAGACATGGTTATTTGAGCAAAAGTTTTTAAAAATCCTTTCCTTATGTGAAGAAACTGAATTAAAGATTTGCAGAGTTATAATTCCCACATATTTGGCAGCTATACATATTTTACTGATGTTATTGTATATTCTAGGGACACAAAGTACTTGTACAGCAATGAACGCATGTCACAGAATGCTTGTATATAATAACCATGAAATGTGCACCTCACCTGTGGTGTTATAATACTGGTTAAGGCTGAGAGTATAACTATTAGATGATGGGGAAAAAGATAAACAAAAAGGCAAAGTTGATAAATAGAATAAATATTAAGGTACTATGCAAATGCTATATGCATTTATTCCATTTTGTACATAGTCATGGGTTATTGTGAGCAATACTACAGTTTAAGAATTCTGTATATGTGATTATATGGAGTTAGTATATGCTTTATTGTGTTGTTATCAGACCTGAAATACAAAAAGCATTTCATGGTCATACAAGAAAATGTTCATACGTGTACTTATTTTGAATGTCAAGACTGTCGATAGTTGTTTTTCCCTACCATAGAGAGAGCCCTTATATTTGTTTAGTTCCAGTAATACCTTTCAAAAATGAGAAATACAAGTTGAATAAGGTCATATATTTTATGGAACCAGCAGTCACAGGTATAGGAGTATGCATGCAAGTGTTAATAGTAGTAATAATAGTGAACAAAACTGGTTAATGTACCTTGCTGTTCTTTCTCACTTGAAAGACATGGTATGAATTTTACTTTATAAACATATCATATATTGTAGTGGAAGGTTACAGATTACTGCCATTGCCATGACCTAAGAACTCAAAGTTCACTTGTTGTTCTTTGTATTCCATAAGAGAGCAAATACTAACTTTTAAAGGCTTTGTTTTCTTTTAGGATAAAGAGTAAGAGGTCATAAGGGGAGTGGTGGTGAATGGGCTCCCATGGGTAACAGGCTATTTTTCATAATCCTTTTTCTACACGAGTTTGTACGCGATCCTAAATGTTATATAATTTCACCCATGTGATAAACATTGTGACATCATACTAAACATACCACATGCTGTATTTAGCATTTTGAACTCTTAGTTTCTGATCAGAAATGCTGATATTATTGTCCACTGTATAGATGTTTCTGCAGATCATATATGGGAAAAATGTATCTACATCAGTTTTTCTCTTGACAAGCTACCTTTTAATTCT